AGGTAAATTATCATTTACACATTGCTTTTTCATTTTAAGATTCAGAGGAAATTTTCCGTAACTGGGAGTCCTATTTGACCAAAAATATTTAGCGATTTAAATTCTCCGAGGACTTGTCCTGATAATTAATATAAATATTCAAGCGATGCAAAAAGAATTTCATAAAATTAAATGAGTGTGGGTAACTGATGCAAAAAAAAAAAAAAAATTCAAAGAATGAAATGTTTAAAAAAATCATTTAATTAATTTTTGAATATGTCCTGAATGTTGTATTAATATCCGACAATTATTTGATTTTTGCAAGAATTTCCTAGTCAATGTGTTTTTCACCAGAAAAAGACGCTAAATTTTCCCGTACAAATTTAAGGTCCCGCGTTGACACACACACACACACACACAAAAACAAGAAAAAAAAAACAAACAAACAAACAAACAAAAAACAAGATTTTTAAACATTTGAAAGTTTTTAAGAAGGTGGGACAAATTACATAAAATTTTTTTTTGATTTTTCATCTTAATAAGAACACAATAAAATTTTGCTTTTTTTTTTTTTGGTGCATTTTTCATCACTTATCGTCTATTTTAGAGAATTTTTGTCAGTTATCCATACGCTCAAATCGCAACAGAATGGGACACAAAGTTGAAGTTTAATTTAGAATTTCTGAAAATCCGTGGGGACTTTTTTTTTTTTTTTTTTTTTGGTGGTGGTGGTGGCGGGGTACTTAAGTGACCGAGAGATTAATTTAAAACAAACCTATATTAGAATGGCACTCAGTGAGTATCGAATTCATTTGTGTAAGGTTCCATTAGGCTAAAATCACTGGCCCTTTACTCTATGACGAGGCGTTCTACTGTGTGCACATTACTTAGTTTCGTCTGACACAAGGCAACAATTAAAAGAGCTCGATTAGTAGACGAAATCATTACTCCATCCTGAAGAACCACCATAGTGTAATGGCTAGCAAATTAATCTCGAAGACCATAACTTCTGAGTGGTAAGTTCGATCCTCACTGATTGCTCCATACTCCTGGCCTTATGACACACAAATCTAACCTTAACTAACATTAATGTTGAGTGATATTAAGTGTTCTAGTCTGGTTGACTCTTAACTACTGGGTGGAGAGTTCGATCCTCACTGGAGCTCCATATTGTTGGCCTAAGCTAAGCGAGTATCACTTTTAGGGCGACTCCATGTGGAATAATAGTTACCAAACTAATGATTTCGATCCTCATTGGGCACCTAATATTTATGGCCTTGTGCCAAGCTTAATAAAACCGCCAATGGTGAAGCACTCTAGGTATTTAGTCGTCTGACACAAGGCCATAGCTGTGGGGCGCCCCACTATCATCGACCTATAGTCTGTTTTTCGTTCGTTAACCATTGAAACAACAAACTTATTGGCATTCCATTCAAGGTCTACTGTTCACTTAGTTTTGTCTGGCACAAGGCTGAAATTAGTGGGGCTCACTGAGGAATGAACTCAGTTAAATGGTCTGCCAGTTCATTAACCATTACCCTACGGCAACGCGATTTTTATTACACATACATTATTACTAAACGAAAGTGTCGATTATGACTCACTGTTTTATTTAAAGTAAACTCTAAATCCAGTCAATGGTTGGTAAGAAGAACGAATGTTTTTTATTTCTATATGTATTTTTTATCTTCAATACAAAGAAAGTTATTATTTTAACATTTTCTTTTAATTAAACCATACTACAAAAAAAAAGTGTTCTCGTGTCAACAGGGGCGTGAGAAGGCCACCTTAATCACACTACGACTGAATATCCCATTGCTATTATTTAAAGCCAGTGGGTAATCAGAAACGTAGTCGTAAACGTCGTAATCATGATGTAAAAAAGGCTGTAGCTAATTAATTATTCTAATTGGAATTTTCGATGTTTAAAAAAAAAACAAGGTTAAAAATTTAATTTTCCTTACTTTAAAATTTATTTACACACTTTTCTCCTAACTGAAATTAATCATGGTATTTTTAAATACGTAAGGCTTTTTCCTACAATTATAAAAAAAAAACATTAACAAGTAATTTTTTTACACACACGCACACCGTGTGAAAACACACACACACCCATGTAGTACTGAACAATCACGTTGTTTTTTTGTAGTAATCGAGCTACTACTAAATTTTCTACGAGTCTTTGTGTTATTCTCACGTGTAGAGAAGCAAACTCATGATGAGAATTATTCAAGGATCGATCGGTACACACATGATGTGTTCACTTCCAATAACATGCAGGAAAATGTGCAAAAACACTTTAAAAATTCAAGCTAAAACGATACAGTAATGTGCATAACACAACAGCTTCATTCACTTTGAAAAAAAAATCACACACACATGAAATTAAGGGTGATACATGTTCCTTGTGTTTTAAACCAACATATTCACACACAAAAACACATGTTCAAGCTTTATATATATATATATATATATATATATATATATATATATATATATATATTTAAACTTTATAAATAATTTTTACAACCAAACGATACTTACAATTTGTCTCTAAACTTTAAAAAGCACTGAAAAACAGATATGTTTTATTTTTTGACGATAAACAAAATGAAGAACGAAATGGACTAGTTATGTTTGTGTGGGAAAGGGTCATTTAAAAATAGCTCATAATTATATTTTTCTGAAAATATATATAAATACTACTTTATAATACTTTTAAATTTATTTAGAATACAATGACCAAAACTAAAAGTAAGCCACTTATTTGCTACACATTAAAAAAACAAACAAACAAAAAAAAAAAAAAAACGTTTTCAAACCGATGTGTCATCTAAATGACATCAATTTGGCAAATAGTTTCATACGAAATAAACTGCTCCACACAAGCAACAAAAAGCCATACGCGCTCAGCACAAACAATAATTAAGTTACAAAACAGTGTTATGATCCCACTTTTGGAAATATAAGTTATATAGGGAAAAAGGCCAAAAAATATTTTTTCCGTTACATCAAAAACATACACGTGTTTAGTTTAACTTTTCTTCTTTTTTTTTTTTTTTTTGTTTTAAATAAAGAGAGTGAGAAAGGCTATCCACATGGCAAATTAAAAATATCCCTCAAAAGTAAAGCTCTCTCGGGAGGAAATAATAAAATAAATAAGCATGTCTATTGTGCACCACATTTAAAATTCATAAACGACACATACACTGTGCACACGCGTTACCTTTTAAATTAAGAAATAAACATTTTTATCGCCCAAGTTCACAAATAGAATTGACATTTTTCACATATCATAGATTAGCGATGGGAAGACATATCACGTCAAACACATTGGAATGTGAGCCCTAATGAAATGAGAACGCTATATTGCATTTACACAGATATGGAAATAACGTTTGGAAAAAAGTTACGAGAGACATTGATTATATATATATATATATATATATATATATATATATATATAAAAAAAAAAAATTATCTTTACCCTGTAGAAGCTGGTGTGTTTTTAGGAACTTCTTCCTGGGTTGTGGTTTAAATAAATGTTGTTCGCTGTGGTTATCGTGGTGAAAAAACATGATCACAACGATGAATGTCGATGAAGAACAAGTACTCCGGATGTGAAGAGGGACAAAAAAAAACCCCAGTAAGTTGGAGATCACTGGGAAGTGTTTAAAAAAAGTAGTAGTAGTACGAATAGAAATAGCGGTAGTAGTCCAGGCGGTTGTTGTAGTTGTAATTGGTATGGAGAAGAAAAAAGACACAAAACAAGAACACCCCGAAATGCGAATTAGCATGAGCAGTTGCAGTTATAGTAGTTGTGGTTGTAAATAGTATTGCAATTTAAAAAACAACAACAAATAAATAACTCGTTCGTTCCTGTTGTTGTTGTTCTGATGACCCTTGGCCTTGTAGAAATCAGAAACGTTTGAAGCCCTACCAAAAAAGTTTTCGATGCGCAACATCAAATTCTGTTTGTTTGTTGTTGGCGTTGTTTTCTTTTTTTCTCTCCTGGTTAAAAAAAAAAAAAAAAAAAAAAAAAATGGTTATTTTTAGAACCTCCCGAAAAATTACATTATTATGTTGTAAAATCAGTTTTCTTCAATAAGGCGTTTAAAAAAAAATAAAAGAAATAAAATTGTGATTTTTTAAAAAAATATTCTAAAATAAAAATCGTTTCTTTTTTTTTCTGTTTGCCTTTATTTTTTTCTTTTTTGTTTTGGTTAAATCTTAAAAATTCGTATATAGTCTATCTTTTCCACCCCCAACTTTAACTGACACATTTTTTTTTTCTTTTGGAGAGTAAGAAGAACGGAAGAGTTTACTTTAGTTAGAAAGAATCCGCAAATGCTACAAGGATTTAAGAATTTTCTTTCCGTCTTTGCTTTCTTCCTTATTTTTCCTTATGACTGGACTTATTTTTCTTCTTTCTCGTTTATCTAGCTGTAAAGAACAATAAAATGTAAAACTGTAAATTATCATCGTTTTTAGAATTATATATATATATATATATATACTTGCTGTATTCTAGTCTTATTTATTACCACATTTACTCTCAATATTAAAGTAAATACAAATGTTTTTCTTTCTTTCTTTCTTTCTTTCTTTCTTTTTTCTTTCTCAGCGCCCTCTCTCTCTCTCTCTCTCTCTCTCTCTCTCTCTTCCTTTTTACTTCCACTTTTCTTTACTGTTACGCATCAGCCTTATTCTACTCAAAAAAAAAAAAAAAAAACAAACAAAAAAAAAAAAAAAAACTCGTGCCCTTACTCGCACTCAACGAATAGCCGGAGTTGGGACTTGGATGTTTTATTTGTAGATTCGCAGAAGACGAGTGCGCGGGCAAGGAATCAGAGGTTTAAAGGGAGGGGAAACGAGCAGAAAAGAGGAGGAGAAGGAGGAGGAGCTGTTGAGAGTAAGGCAGGTTAGAAGGTGACGGTGGGAGAAAGAAAGGGGAAAGCGAAACGGGTAAAAAAGAAGGGAGAATAAGAGAGAAAGAGAGAAGACAAGAGAAGGAAGAGAAATTAAAGAAGGGAAAGGCAGAAAGCAATATGAGAGAGAGAGAGAGAGAGAGAGAGAGAGAATGAGGGGAGCAATAAATAAATAAAAAAAGAGATTGGGAAAGGAAATAAATAAAAAAAAGAAAGAGAAAGAAAAGTATTAAGAAAAGAGATAAGAAAAGGAAAGGAAAAGGAAGGAGTAAGAAAAGAGAGAGAGAAAAGAAGGACAATGGAGAGCGATAATAAGAAGAAAGAAGGAAGAATGAGAGAATGAGAAACGAAAAAAAATGGAAGAATTAAGGAAAGAAAAAGAAAAGAAAGAAAATCAGAAGAAAAGGAAGAGAAAGACGAGCTAAAGAAAGAGAAGAAATAAGAAATGAGAAAAGGTAAAAAAGAAAACAAGCAAAAAAAACAAAACAAATAAAGGCTTAAATTTTTCAGAAGTAAAAGCAAAACGCAACGAGAGAAAGAAAAGAAAAAAGAGAGAAGACAATAAAGTGCGTAGAAATAAGAAGAGAGAAATAAACAAACAAAAGAAAAGAAAAGAAAAGAAAAGAAAAGAAAAGAATATACAACAAAGGGAGTGAAGATAGTAAACAAAGAAAGAGAGTGAGAGGTGCAACTTCAAAGTAAAATAGAAAAAGTGCGAGAGAAAGAGAAGAAGGTGTAAAAAGACAAAAAAGAAAGAAAAAGAAAGAAAGTGACTTAAATGATTAGATTTTAAGAAGAAGAAGAAGAAGAAGAAGAAGAAGAAGAAGAAGAAGAAGAAGAAGAAGAAGAAGAAAAAGGTGGGAAGAATTAGGACAGCTACATACGTACGTACGCACGTAAATTACAAAAGAAAGAAAGAAAAACAAGAAAAAGGAAAGAAGCAAAAATAGAAAGAAAAAGGCTAAAAAGATCAACGCTGTAAAAATCCAACATTCAAGGAATGAAAAATACAAGTTCGAATGACAGAGAAAAAAAAAAGGTCGATTAACAAATGAAAAAAAAAATACAAGAAAATATCCACGTGGTTGTGAAGAATAAAATAATAATAATAATAATGAAAAGAATAAAAGAAAGAAAACGAAGAAGAAATGAGAAAGAAAAAAAAGAAGCAGAAGAAAAGCAAGAAAAATCGATAAATGGACTAGATTTGTCACAACACACACAACTGGGTCAAGCCAACTCCCTCCCTCAATACTCATAGTCTATCTACCTAATTTCTCTTTGCTCTCTATACAATCTGCTACTCTATCGCGCTTTCTCCCGTTAACTCTCCTCTTACCACCACTTAACTCTCTATCCTTTTTTTTTCTTTTCTCGCGATTCTTTTCTTTGCCGATTTTTAGGTTTATTTTTCGTTTTTTATTTTTTATTTACGAGAGAAAAAAAAGAAACGAAATAAACAAAATGTGTTTTTTTTTTCTTCTACGAAATAAAAATAACTTGTAAAGAAGAAAGAATAAAAATGTTGTTTTTTTCCGTAGGTGGGGGTGTTGAGGGGGTGGAATAAAAAAAAGAAAGAAAGACGAAAGAAGAAGAAGAAAAAACTTTTTTTTTTTCAAACTGATAATTCTTTTAATAAAGATATAATACATTCGAAATAGGAATCTCATAAAATAACGGGACAGACTTGAAATAAGGTCGCAGTTTCTTCTTCTTCCAAACATACATGACATTTAAAACGTTCATTAGGAATTAGCGAATTCTTGATCCCGCCCCCCACCCACAGGAAAAAAAAAACAAAAAAAAAATTTGCAGTAGTAAACAATTGCGGACACCCGTTGAAAATACAAGTTGAAAAGATCTACTTATTATTATTATTATTATTATTATTATTATTATTATTATTTTCTTTTACGGGGGTCGGGGCGGGAAGGCTGAAATTCTGGTTTAATCACGCGGAAAATAAAACCTCCTCTTTGAATTCAAATTTTGATTGATATTAAATTTAACATCCCAAAAAACAATCTGATACAAGAAATTTTTCTTTTGAACATCCAATACCCAGATATTAAATCGGGGTAAAAATACATTTAAAAACATCATTCTTGTTGTACAGGACATGGATCATGTGTGAAAGTGAGGTTTACGGTTGTTTTTAGTATAATCTTGCATCAGAAAAAAATAGAATATTATTATTATTTATTACTACTACTATTACTACCACTACTACTGGGCTACTGCTATGACTATTTCTACTTCTATTCAATATTATATTTCAATTTGTCCATAAAAAAAAATAATGTATTTTCTCGGTGAAGAAAAATAATACGAAAATTAGGTGAAAAAAAAAGTGTGAATTAGGTGGAAAATGTAGCCTAAGATGAAACCTTTACTTTTACATTTTTTCTTATAGTTCTTTTTTACGTGTATAATACAGTTACGAATACAATTGAAAACACATAAAATGGTTACACACGCGACTACCCTCCTCCGCTCCACCCATCAGTGTGTTTCCAGAAGACGCACACACTTACACATTCCACCGTTTTTTTGCGGTGTTTACACATAAAAACGGCACTCGCACAAAAATACGTCGATCCCTCTTTCTTTCTTCAGTCTTTTTCTCTGAAAAAAAAAAACAAAAACAAAAAAACACACACACACACATACAAATAAAAAAGTTTCCATCTTTGCAGAATTGATGAATATTTCATATTGCCAATTACTTAAAACAATGTAAAAAAAATACTTACAAACACATACACACACGCGCGACTGCACCTATACATACATACATATATATGTAAAAATCCACATATAAATAAAATATATTTATAAAGATTATATATATATATATATATATATATATATATATATAAAATATAAAAAAACAAACTTTTTTACCATAGCGTTTCGTCCATTGAGGAACCTTGATAAAGTTCTTCAAGGACGAAACCCATTAGTAAATAAAGGTTTTTCTTTTGTTTATATATATATATATATATATATATATATATATATATATATATATATATATACTGACTCTACACTATTTTACATTATTCGGACTATTGTCCTCATCTTTGTCGCCATATTTATTACAACGTTTCGGCCGTTGTACGCTCCGGCCTTCTAAAGGTGGTTGGAATGTCGAACTGAATCCTTTATTTCGCTCAATGGGGTAGACTGTTCTAAATTCATCTCAGAAATACAGATAGATACTCGACCCTCCCGTCGAATTCGACGTATGAGGGTCAAGCAGATCAGTTCCTAGGAAACCGATAGCCCAACAACAGCCCATGAGGTTTCGTGCAGGATCATCCACACTTTTTGAAGGCCCGAATATAGAGACTTGGTGCACTACGTGCCACAGGCTTCCCAAACGACCCTCTGCAGGTTTTGAATTCAGAGTTGTCATTCTTCTAGACCATTTGCCATCCAAGGCTATAGAACCCAGTCTGTCCTGCTATTTTACCCATACCTGGAGGGAGAAAAAGAGGATTCACACCTTTCCCAAGGGTATTAGCACGTAAGTGAATGTAATGGATTCGAGTGGAATTCGAACTCCGATTCCTCAATCCAAGCCGCTATTAATTACTCCACTGTGCCTCCCTCAATATATATATATATATATATATATATATATATATATATATATATATATATATATATATATATATATATATATATATATATATATATATGTGTGTGTGTGTGTGTGTGTGTGTGTGTGTGTGTGTGTGTTTTTTCAACTTTACTCGAGAGGCTGTAGCCAAAAAATATAATACCATTTTGAAACACACCGACTCCGTGAAGAGCAAATTAAAAGACATTCTGGGCCGGATCCAGGCCCTCAATCCTGAAATTTAGGATTCAAAGTTTTCATTATTGCGATTGTTTTTGGCGTTTTTTTTTTGTTTTTTTTTACGTGATTTTTTGCGGCGAATTTTTTTCTTTTTTTTTTTTTTTACCAATAACAATTTTTATAACTTGGAAATAAATTTAAAAATAATCGAAATTAATTGAGAAATCCAGCGAAAGTCACTCATGAAATAAAAAAAATTATTGTTTGTACGGAAAGAAATGACCTACGTACATCAAATTGTCTTTAAAATCAGTGGCGGCAGAAGAATTATCGTCAACCTTTTAAAAAGCAATCTTAAATATTAATGCAATAATTAAATCCTGTGATCAATGTAATTTATTGTTGCCTATCGCATCTATTCCTCTATTATAAGAAATTCGGATCATCAATCTAACTTCTTTCCCATTATATTAACACACACACACACACACACACACACACACACACACACACACACACACACACACATAATTATAATTATTTAAAAAAAAATGATTCCACCGCAACACAGAAATTATAAGAAATTCGGATCATCAATCTAACAGTTCGTTCCCATTATATCAACACACACACACACACACACACACATATATATATATATATATATATATATATATATATATATATTAAAAAGAGAGAAACCGCAAACGTTTTTGGTTGTAATGTGTATTTTTTAAAAAAATATATTATGCTTTATTTTATTTTTTTTTAAATCAAAATTACAGCCAAAAACGTTTGTGATTTCTCTCTCCTTTTTAATATACACACTTTTGGAACTACCATAACCTCTTCGCTTTATATTATATATATATATATATATATATATATATGTGTGTGTGTGTGTGTGTGTGTGTGTGTGTTTAAATTAGGATATTAGAAATCCCGACAAAGTTTTTAAATTCGACACATGGAAACGTTCCATGAAAATACACACAGATACACATACACACATTTCATTCTTTCGTTTTTGGATCGGTTGAACCATTGAATGGCGAAATACATAATCAAATCTATTTTCATAAAACGTTTCCATTTGTTAAATTTAAAAACTTTGTCGCGATTTTTATATCCTAATTTAAAAAAAAAACAAAAAAACATCGACGCATGGATACAACAACAACAAAATCTTTTACTTCCAACCCATTCTGAAAGATTGTACGAAGATTTGCTTTGGATTCATTTCAGAAAAAGGCCAAATGAATTTCATGCTTTCGGGCCATTCTGATAATGAGAACGGGATTTGCCTTTATTTCGATACAAAAAAAAAGTTCCTAAAATACATTAACAACTTTCGACTTGAAGTAAGAATTTTAAAGAAAAGATACCAGAATAAATATTAATGACTTTTTTTGTTTTTTTTAAAGTTACTCATTTCCTTTCATCTTTAATCACGTGAAACGCCAGCTAAAGAAAAAAATATACTCACACTCATTATTGAAGAATACACAAAAATACACATATTTCATTCTTTTGTTTTAGAATTTGATAAAGCCTTGAATTATGAAACGCATAATCAAATCTACTTTCAATCAAATCTATTTTCATGAAATGTTTGTCATATATATATATATATATATATATATATATATATATATATATATATAAATAAATATATATCCAAGTATAGGATTGGTGTATACGGAATAAATTCAATAACCAACAGATACTATTCTTAAAAGAATGCTCAATACAGAATAGAGCAAATATAATCATTTATTCGAAAATTATAGCATAAAAATGTTATAAAATCACTACAAAAATAGCCATTTTGTTTCAACACTTCTGGTATCTTCTCAAGTGATGGTGTTGAGATTCATGTATTTGTAAAATCGATAATTCCGATTTGAAGTACTTTTATTGGACGCCTGAATACTTTGCTCGTAATTTGTTTTATGCCTTTTTTAAAAATTTTTTATCATTTATTCTTTAGAGAAAGAGGCTTCCTATTTTATTTATTTATTCACGAAATAAACTTTCTAAAATTAACAACAAATATAAGAAAAATCCTTTAGAGATTCAATTGTTTAAACAATTTTGTACCTAGACGTTTCAGCCGTTGTGCTCTTCGGCCTTCATCAGGTGCTTGCCGATCTGAGTAACCTTCAGGGAATTTCGAACTCAATTCTTC